GAGACCTCGACCATCTTTACTTTGAGTTAATTGGCCATAAGAAATAGATTAATAATAATAAAAAACTGGTTCATAGAAATTAATAATAATAGTAAAATAATAATAATAATAATAATAATAATACTACTAATAATAATAATAATAATAATAATAATAATGAAAGTAGATTAAAGAGAATGATTATAATAACATGGATTATAGAAACATTGTCGCTAGACCATTCACTTTTCAACTTGCCACTTTTTAATTAATTAGTCAATTTTAATCAAGTAAAAAATTTTTTGGCTGATTAAATTAGATTAGACTTGTTATTACTTAAAATAATGATTGGATGATTTAACCTGGACTATTTAGTAATGACTGAGGATAAGTAATAAAATGAATAAAATACATTTTGGATTGAGTTAGATTAAATAAATTATAAGGGAAAATTGAAAATTTAAAATAGATCAAATGAATAAGATTAGTAAAATGGACGAATGAATATGATTAGAAGGAGTTACATGAATTAACGAATAAACTGTACTTTAAATATATCAAATGAAATACTTCAAACTATTTACATTAATTATTTTGAAATCGTAAGAGTGGGAAATTATAAACGGTAGATGACTTAACTAAAAGTTGGGAAGATATTGATTTGTGAATTTTAAATAGAAGGTGATTTGAGTGAGGAGCAAAGTAGGAGACCTAACTAAAAGTATTTGGAGTTTGAGCTAAGTCCTATGTCAACCAAAATGTTGTTTACCTCGTATATTATATGTGATATGTATCTCTATTTATTTGAGAAATTGTTGTTGAGATTATGATTATGTGGATTTTTATGAATTGTGAACTATTTGTGTAAAGTATGTCATGTTGTACGTTTTGGAGAAATGTGGATAAAAATCCTTGTTCTAAAACTATATTTATGAATAATAGATATAGAAATTTTTTTGGGAAATAATTCAAGATAAAATGAAACTTTCAATGTAAGGGCATCGCGGGAGAAATCCGCGGTGTCGGTATGCTCCACGACCTTGACCGTGGGGGGTGGTTAGGTCTGGTACTACTGGTTTGGGAGGCTCGGTAACCAATCCGAGAAATTTGAGAATTATTTGGGAGGCTCGGTAACCAATCCGAGAAAATTGAGAATTTTATCTTGGGGCATCAGACCCTTTTATTTTAGTAGTAGCAGTAACCTAGTCATCTAGGGGTAAACCCCTTTTTGGTGTGGTAGGGGGACGTTGACGTCCGGACTACTTGGGCTTCTTACTACTCGGAGGGCTTGGAATCCCTTTTGGGGGTGTGCACACTTAAGGTAGAGGTTCAGTTTCCATGGGAGTTGTGGTACCGGCAAAAGTTCCGGGGTGGTCGTACATAACAACGGTCCACCGGGCTCAATATGATCTTGAGCACCGCCCTTCGAATCTACTAGGGAGTTTAGCTATAATGAGATTTTGAGGAAAGCAAAGACAAGAGAATTTTATTTGACAAAAATCATTTACCTATACTATATACAAAACATTATTTTCATCAACCCTATTATTTTACGGGGTTGGGTGGAGCTTACTTAGCGAAAGCTAATTTTTGTCTCTTTTGTTTTCTTTTCCTTCTTGTTTGTACAGATGGATATGCTTTGGATGATGACATGCATGCTTACGGTTCTTGAGAGCGCTAGCTAGAGATATTACTAGTAATAAGACTCTATTTATGAACTTTTGATTTAAGATCATGTAATAGACATCTTTACTACTCTAATTTCCTCACTCTAGAATATTTGAGCAAGTACTTTTGTTAGCCTGTGCACTTAGCGATGGTTTTGCTAAGTGTGGCGGTAACACCTTCAATTTTCAATTATGTTACTCCGCTGCAACATTTCAATATTTCAAATTAAGTTCATTTTCCTTTGCTTAAATAATTATTTAAATTATTATTTTGGGTGGAAATTTTGGGGGTGTTACACAATACATTTCTAATATAAGTTATGAAGATATTATAAATATGTAATGCCATTAATGCATATCTCGTAACAATAATATGCACACCCATTAATCTTATTATGCACATTCTGTGACTTTAATATGCAGACACTTTTACATTTGTTCACTTATTACAAGTTTAATATGCATGCATGTTAGAAGTTCTAATATAAAGTGTGCACATGTTATCAATATATAATGCAATTTCCATAATCTTAATATTTTAAGTTTAAAAAATAAAAGGTTATTTAAGAATTGAATTATTCCCACATATATAAATGTGTATTTACTTTTAATTTATCTCCATCTCCTACTCCTTCGTCCTCATGAAATTTTGCATTTTAGAAAATCTTTGTTTTTATGAGATTAATCATATTTTAATGATGGAGTATATGGGTCTGAGCTCCAGGAAATTCATCAAATTCGTATTTATACAAAAAAAAGTTTAAGCGCTACTAGTTTAATCTGCATGAAATAGTTATGGTGTTCTCACGTTGATGATAAAATGCAACATACGAACTCCTGAAATGCAGATGGCATAGCGTTAAGATGCAGTATGAACTTTTAAAGTGCACATAAATTTCTAATATAGTGCAATACACAAACTTCTAAAATGCACATGTTATAATAATAAAATCCAAGATATGAACTACTATAATGCAACATTGACATATTTCTGACGACTATACATATCTAATATAAGTTATGAAGATATTATAAATACATAATGCATATCTCGTACCAATAATATGCACATCCATTAATCTTATTATGCACATTCTGTAACTTTAATGCAGACACTTTTACACGTGTTCACTTCTTACAAATTAATATGCATGTTAGAAGTTCTAATATAAAGTGTGCACATGTTATCGATATATAATGCAATTTCCATAATCTTAATTTTTTAACTTTAAAAAATAAAAGGTTAATTAAGAATTTAATTATTCCCCCATATATAAATGTATTTACTTTTTGTGAAATTTGAACAATTTCCAAAAGTTACAAGTGAATAATTCCATAAATAAAGAATAATTGGATTTGTCATTGCAACTTTCATTGATGGCTAAATATTCAAACGTTAATCCTTGTATCTTTCCTTTTTTTTATTTGCTAAACATGGGTGGTTGGAATTTTAGTGGTGGGTTAGCTAAATTGTAGGGATTGCCTTCCGTATGGTGCTCATTTTTTTAATCATGAGATTTTGTTATTAAATTATTTCCATAAATAACACAACTTGCCGGCCACTTTTACTTTTCAATTACCATTATGTCATTTTAATTTCTAAAACTTAAAAACGATGTTCTCTCTATTTTTATACATATATATTATTAAAAATATCATGGGCCCTCTTGAAGAGATGCACCCTGGGCACAAGTACAACACTTTGACCCCCACAGGGCGCGTGGTAGTTACTTTCCAAACTTCTAGTACTCTCCCCACAAACCTCCACAAGTGAATAATACTATCAATCCTTTTAAATCAATCTCAAGTATTACAATCACCCTCACTTAGGATCGCAACGTCCTTGTTGCGCCCATAAGCCAATTCAATCTCAACCATATCTCAGAATCTTCCGCTGCTAAGTGACCGTCCGATATCCTCACTCGTGTCTCGTGTACCTTGAGAAACTTCTCAGGGGGTCACTTATCCCAAGACTACTCCCATGCAAGCACACTTAACTTAGAGTTCTTAGCTCATTTTTGTATTAGTAAACAGGCTTATTTGACCCTTTTCTCTAATTTTTTACCATAAAATGTCGCTATATTGAGACAAGCATAATAGCATATCTTGTGTGTGTCTTGGATAGTGTTTGCAAATGATTTAACTTAAAAAAATTACTTTTTAAAGTGATTTTGGAAAAAGTGTTTAATAGTAAAAGTTGATAGTGTTTGAGAAAAAAAGTTTATTTTTAAAAGTAAAAGTTGGTAGTGTGTTGATAAAATATGTGCTTCTTGTGTAAATAGAAAAAGTAAAAAGCATATTCTAGCTTTTAGGTTTTAAGTATTTAATTTAAATAGAAGTTGTTACATGAAAACACTATTTTAAGCTTTTTAAGCTAAAAGCTTTAAAACATTTTTTTTCGAAAACATACCCTTAAGGAGTGATTGCAATTGTTTCTACTTTTGAAAAGAGATTTTTTAAAGTGATTTTGGAGAAAATGTTTAATTGTAAAAGTTGGTAGTGTTTGAGAAAAAAGTGCTTATGAAAAAGTAAAAGTTAGTAGTGTGGTAAACTAAATGTTTTTTTTTGTAATAGAAAAAATGAAAAACAGTTTAAAACATCACTCCATATGCTTCCAGTTTTCACTCCATTTTTTTCTCATTTCCCTAAATGGGAAGTTATCTACATCAAAACAATGTCAAACAGTGCAAAACAGTGTCAAAACAGTGTCAAAACGGTAAAATTTACCTCCTGATAAGTTTATTTTCTTAATATATGTGTAGGTCAAACCGGGAAGTTCTTTACGGAAGGGAGGGAGTAACTTTTAAATGCTAAATTTAAGCAAAAAATGTCACTTGAAAACCTCTTTTTCAATTTTTTTAAGTCAAAAGGTAAGAAACATTTTTTTTAAGTTTTTGGAAGCACACTCCCTTAATCCGGCTTAAAAGTTGATGCGGAGCAAGGATTATAATCATTTAATATACTCCTACATTAGGTATATAATTTTCGCGAAGATCCTAAAGCATCAAGTCAGGATGGCCGAGTGGTCTAAGGCGCCAGACTCAAGTTCTGGTTCTCGTGAGAGAGCGTGGGTTCAAATCCCACTTCTGACAATTTTTTTGTGATTTTTTTCGCTCATTGGGCTAGTTTTGGCAATAAAGGTGTTATTCCAGGGCAAAATCGGCAATTAATTAATGAACAAAATTCTGTTTTTAAAAGTGAAAAATTAGAACTAAAATTGTTTGTATATTTTAAACAATTTTAAAATATTGTTTAAACTAATTATTGTTATTTTTTAAATCGTATTGTTATTCCTAAAATTAGACTAATTATTGTCATTTTTTGTAGTACCAGATTTTAAACATGACAGTATTTTTAAAACTTGACAGTAATTACTTTTATTTAGGGGAAAAAACATGATAGTCATATTTTTTGAATTTTCAAACATAAAAAACATTACAATCATTTTTTAGGGAATTTTCCCTTAAAAAATTTAACGTCGCCGGCAATACCACGACGTTTGGTAACCAAGCTCGGAAGCTCCCAGGCAAAGCGTTGATCCCACCTTTGAATGCCTTTCAATTAGGTCAATTTTTTGAAATAATTGGGAAATTGCGAAGGATGCGGCGTCGTTTAGTAGCTGAAGTCCCCGGCAAAGCGGCAATCCCACCTTTGAATTCTCAGAGTGAACAACCAAAAACTATGAGCAGCACTATATATAGCCCGTGCATTTAAGAGGATCCACCACCCCTGAATCCTCACTGTTAAGATCCCGGAAGAGGTAATGGCTGAATCCTTTGTCCCAACCATTAGCAAGGGAGGCGGTGGTAAATCGAACTCTAGTGGTATGGTAATGGAAGAGCTGATGCCTGAAGCCATTGCTCCGGCCATTAGCGACGGAGGCGGTGGTAAGACACACACCGCTGGTAAGGTCCGGTTGGTGTCTGAAGTTATTTCTCCAGCCATTACCAGCGGAGGCGGTGGCAAAACGCACGTTGCTGGTCTTTAGCTATTGCTTATTCTTATGCAAATTAGATATCTAAAGAATATCTATCGTACCTATCATAGATTTAAATAATTCAATTTCAACATTGGTCCATGTGAACAAAAGTACGGTAACTTAAGGGTACCATAGAATCTATCTATTTATTATCATCACTAGTGTGAATTTGTAATTTCATAATAAATATTATAATTAAAAACAGTGCAATCCTTAATTTCTAAATTTTATACTCCCTCTGTACCTTAAAACTTTGTCATCTTTCTTTTTTGGGACGTCCTAAAAAACTTTGTCACTTTCCCTTTTAATCAATTATTTTGTGGTTTCTGTTATTTCTCTCCTCTGCACAAATCTCAACCACACAGTTTTTACTTTATTATTCTCTGTGCCGGTCAACTTTGACAAAGTTTTAAGGGACGGAGGTAGTATAACGTAATACAAATAATTATAAATAACACAATATGAATTTGTAAATTCATAATTAAATAACCCAGAATACTCTGTAACAAATATTAAAAGTTTCATACAAATATACTTCGCAAAGTTTTACAGGTCACATATCATGAATTTCAAGTGAAACGAACCCGTAACCCTCAAAACTAGGCTTAAGAGTTAAATAGATCCCTGTATCGATCATTTTAGCCCAATTCAGTATCTGAAAAAAAAACCAATTCGCACATCAAACCCGTAAAATGGTTCAAATTTCATTTTTGCGGGTAAATACCCGGTCACCGGCGTCACCTATGTGACTGCCACTTGTACATACGAAGTTGAATCTAAATGCTCAAAAAAGTCTATCAACTTGTTCCAATTGCTCAATTAACCCCTTCTGTTCAACATTGTGATAAAAATATATATATAATAATAAGGATAAAGTATAACTATATATGGTAAACTAGATATTTTTTTGTTAATTCATAATATGAATATAAAAATATAAACAAATGAAAAGACAATATATGTATATTTTGACATTATATTTCACTCTTGAATTTTTAGTTTAGCGCTTTCATTTCCTACATTACATTTTATTTATATTTTATACTATCTTCCATTACGTTCAAACATTTTAAAATATTGACCTAATTTACTCTTGAATAAGTGTAATTTTTTATTTTATTTATATTTTGAAATATTGACCTAATTTACTCTTGAATAAGTGTAAATTTTTATACTTATTTCTTTTAAATTATTTTAATATTTCTATTTTTTATTTTGAAATTATTACAATTTTGACACTTTCTAATAGTTTATAGAGTGATGACTTGATCGAACATTTGTGATGGATTCAGGGATTTATTTTACTTTATCGTGTAAGTTTTTGATGCACATGTGGCAATCAGACGTGTGACATGGTGGGTGAATGGGTATTCATTTGTTAAAAATGAAATTTGAACACCTTTTTTGCTGGTTCGGGGTGTCAATTAGAGATTTTTCAATTCATGAACTGAATTGCGCAAATACGACCTTATCTCATTAGTCATTGTTTTAAATTTTTGGGTATACACTGTATAACGCACACTCTCTGGGTCCCCAATGCAATTATTTAGTATTAAACTTTATAATTAATGATAGTAATAACTATGATACGAAGCATGTAAACCTAGTTCACTTACTTTGTCATCAACCTAGACTGCTCTACATCTTCCAGAAGATCATAACTATAATTTTATTATAGTTTGACTATTACTCCCTCCGTCCTGGTCATTTCTTCCAACTTTCCTTTTTGGACCGTCCCAATTAATTCTTCCAACTTCCACTTCTGGAAAAAATGTGTGGTTCACATTCATTCACCTTTTTCTTACACAACTACAACCATACATTTTCACTTTATTCCCACTACCTAAATTTGCGATACCGGTCAAAACCGGAAAAAATGACCGGGACCGAGGGAGTAGTTTTTTATTTCAGTTAGGTTTGATTGCACAAGGTTAGTTTAACGTAGACTTTTTAATTTTGCAGTCCTTTCTCTTAAATTTTTGTATAATTACTTACTTATAAATGCTAAAACCTAAAATATTTTTGACTTCGTGGGAGTTAATTATTTAGGAATCAAATAACACCGAAGAACCGTACCGAACCGTACTGAAAATTGGTACGAAACGGGACAAGTTCTACATTTTTTCAGGACGACACTGATTATTTGATTTTTGAAAGAATCGTACTTTGGCGGGACATGTTTTTCAAAGTAATTGTCCCGTACCATCCCATCCTCCCCCGCCTAAGAGCATCTCCAATGCTAAAACGTTAATTGTGCATATGTGGCATGGGAAATAACCAATTAAAAAACAATAAATAGAATATCTCTCTCCTTATTTGAAGGATCTTACATCATTTTGGTAAGTTTTTCTTCACAATGTCAAACACAATGTCTAAATATAGACATTGTGGTTGACATTGCAGACAAAAACTTACCAAAAACACATAAGACCATGAAAAGATTGAGAGAGAAATGTTATAAAATCAATATTTTGTGTCTATCTCTCTCATGCCACATGTGCACTGTACACGTTGTAGCATTGGAGATGTAATGTTATTCATAATATTCAATTAGGCCCCTTTTTCAATTAACCGAGAAATTGGAACACCCAATCACAAAAGATACGACACCGTTTAGAAGCTGAAGTCCACTGTAAAGCAATCCCACATTCCCACCTCTGAATCATTAGGATGAACAACCAATTTAAAATAGGTAAAAAAATAATATAAATGCACTGAACTTTGAAGGAGTGAGAGATAAATACTTTGAACTTGCACATTTAATATATATATCTTGAACTGTTAAGAAGTTATTTTCGCACAATGATTATATATTTTTTAAAAATACAAATTTATTGCAATAAGTACATAATTTAGAATAATCCAAACTTTATTTGGATGCAGTTAACATTATAATATGAGATATTTAAATGCTACATAATTTCTATTGAAATAGGAGACGAACTTTTAATAGAGTTTTTTTTCGAATTAATGTTAATTAATTAATTAATTACGAAAATAATGTTGGTAACAAAATATTTACCGATCTACTGCTGGGTTTAACCATGGTTAGGGAAAGTCGCCCAACGGTTGGGCGACTTTCCACTTCCATATAAACGCAGACCAACAGCTACTGCTAGCCACGCACGATCGTGCCCGGACGGGGTAGGCACGATCGTGCCTAATTCCGAAAACAGAATTTCATCAGTTTTTTTGCCCCATTTCAACCCAGACTCATCTTTTTACTATAAATAAGGTATTCATTCTCCTGTTTAAGTGTTACGAGCGAGATGCAACACATTATAAAACATACAACACACATGTTCACAAACACATACATAAACACATACAACTCACCGGTAAAATACAGTACAATCATCAAACATTCATAACAATTAATCATCTAATATTCATACTCGAACACATAAATACAAATGATGCACCGTTGTGCAAATACCTACCATCTTCCTGTATAACCATGTCCATTGCAGGAGCATTTGAGGAGTTCACAGCATTCACACCTGCATTGACATAATGCGTAGATACAACAACATTTGATGTTGATGGAGTACGATAAGCGTCACATATGGATTCCTCATTGTATATCTCAAGCATTGACATGTCTTCCATCTGAACTATGGCCCACATATTTGTTATAGTTAGCTCATCAGTGAGGGGCATAAACATGTACTTTCCCCCGTTCATGGGAAATTTCATTTTCAAACGCAAAGAACGGCTAGGATGAATCATTGTGGCTGTATGTATTTTTTGAAGGATCTCGAACATGCAAGCACCACGACAAACCATGACAAACGTGGTTGTACCACCTTCATGGCATATTTGACTAGCATCCTCATAATAGTTCCCTCCCCAATGACACACAATTGGGAAGCTTGAGAAATCCATATTCTAATAACAATTCAAATATATCCAAAAGTCAAGATTCACAAACAACTCACATTTCAATATGAAAATACCCAAATTTTGATATCTACATTCAAGTCTACATTTGAATACCCAAATTTAGCTACATTCAAATCCACCCAAATGCCCAAATGTCAAAATATATACATGTCAAAATCAATTTCAAATCAAATTTGAACATTTCATAATCTAAAAATTCCAAAAATTTAACATTCAAAACCCTAAGTTAAAAACGAGATGAAATGGAGTTTGATTTACCTACAACAAAGAAGAAAGAGTGTTGAAGATGGAGGTTTGCCGGAGTGGGGTCGCCGGATATGGAAGTTCGCCGGAGATGGAAATGGCTCGGTCGTCCTTCGTCCTTCGTCTTTAGTAGCTGCTGCTTGGGGGATTTGGGGGTTGGGTTTCATTCGGAGTGTTCTGTTTTGTGGCTGAGCGCTGTTTTTACTTAATGGAAAGTCGCCCAACGGTTGGGCGACTTATAAGTCGCCAAACCGTTTGGCGACTTATAAGTCGTTCAACGGTTGGACGACTTCCCCCGACCACGATTAAACCCAACAGTAGATCCATAAATACTTTTAACCCAACATTATTTTCGTAATTAATTAATTAATTAGCATTAATTCGAAAAAAAACTTCTTTTAATAAGGGAAGTAATACGACGACGTTAGATAATTAAATAAACTCCCCGGCGAAACCCTATTACTCTGAGCACTCTTCATAACCCATACATTTCGGAGGATCCACCACCGGCGAATGCTGACGGCGGAAACGGCGCTGACACGCAAGCAGCTGTTAAGATCCCGGAAAAGGTAATGGCTGAATCCGTTGTCCCGGCCATTAGCGAGGGAGGCGGTGATGAAACGAACTCTGCTGATATTGTAACGGAGGAGCTAGTGGCTGAAGCCATTGCTCCGGCCATTAGCGACGGAGGCGGTGGTAAGACGCACACTGCTGACACGGTACCCGATGCGCTGGTATCTGGATCCCTTGCTCCGGTCATTAGCGACGGAGGCGGCGGTAGGACGCACACTGCTGATAAGGTCCATGAAGCGCTGGTGTCTGAATCCATTGCCCCGTCCATTAGCGACGGAGTCGGTGGTAAAACGAACACCGCTGATAACATCCCAGGAGAGCTAGTTTCTGAAGCAGTTGCTCCGGCCATTAGGGACGGAGGCTGTGGTGAGACACATACTGCTGATAAGGTCCCAGAAAATTTATTGGTTGAAGCCATTGCTCCGGCTTTTAGCGGTGCAGGTTGTGGTGAGGCGCATACAGCTGATAAGACCCCGGAAGAACTAGTGGCTAAAGCAATTGCTCCAGTAAAGAGGGAATATCTTCGCCCTGCCCCTCAAAGAAATTGTAGCGACAATAGCAGACACTTAAATGTTGACCAAAAGGACAAGGATGCGGAGGCCAAGTCCAGGCCTCTACTAGATGTGAAAAAATCCAAGCGCCAACTCAAACGTGACCGTCTTCAGGTTACCTTCCCAGGAGTGTTAACAATGTCATTTCTTTGCTCCTTTCACACACGCATTTGAGATATTCAACAAAATTTTTATCATTGCACATTATTATTGGGAGGATATAAAAATCACATTTACTAGAAATAATAAACATATTCACGTTTGAAAATAAGTTTCATTTAAGTGTTATTCGGTTTCTCCCTCCATTCCTAAATGTATGTCCCAGTTTCCTACTTTCCTTGAGATGTTCCAGAATACTTGTCTCTCCTCCCTTTGTTGTAAAAGAATCTACCTAAAACAGCTTAATGTGCACAGTACTGCTATAGTATTTAACCCCCATGCAGGGACATAATTGGTTACAAAGGGAGTATTAAGGAGCAAAGTTTATTCATTTTTCGAAGGTAGAATGTGAAGCCATACAATAGTCTCTAGGGCTCATTTTTATCACGTCAACTCGTCAGTACCTTTTTACTCAGCTGAGAGGTAACATGATTCTTATTGAAAAAGTAAAATTGTGTGGTTAAGATTTATTTAGTGAGAAATGTTGTACCAACATACACACTATTTTCCTCAAAAAATTATATATGTTGAGTATCCATATTGATTGTATACGAGGTTAGATTTTGGTATATAAGTGTGAGGCAAACCTCATCCCTTTGAGCGAGTTAGTTCAGGTTTAACGTGATATGAAAATATGATCCGATAAACTGATGCTCATACACCATACGCCAGTTAATGCTATTTTTGTTGGTTTGGGCCTATTTGTCCCCCTTATAGTTTCCCAGCCCAAGTGACGTCCACCCCAACTTGAGTTGATGGGTGTATTCTGTGTATCCTACATTAGTTGCCTACTAGATTATAGTCTAGTATATAAGCATGAGGGGAGCAATATTATGTTGAAACTTACAGTACTGAAGTTTTTTCAGAGTGTGTACATGTATCTATGTATATGACTATATGCATGTTCTATTCTTCCAAGTTTTTCCTATGTTTAAATATTTTCTGAAGTTTGTAATTGTTACTAATCAATCCTAGGAACGTAAATCTGCACTAAGCCTGTGCCCCGTAGTGGCAAAAGCAGGGAAAGTCAGTGCATGTGCTTACAATGATAGGTGCCGCTTTAGCCATGATTTGGAAGCTTTCATTGCTCAGGTAATTCTGAATCAAGAATCTTATTGTTGTTTGTGGTTTTAACTTGTACTGATATTGGTTGCCAATCGATTGTAGAAACCAGCTGATGTAGAGGGAACTTGCCCTTTCCTAGATACTGAAGGGCCGTGTCCATACGGGTTGGCATGTAGATTTGGAGGTACACACAGAGATGCTCTGACCGAAGAAATTTCAAAAACTCATAGGAAGAATTCTGAATCAAATGTATTGAACAAGGAAACTCAAAAACTTTTGTGGAAAAACAAAGTGAAGTTTACCAAAGCTGATGCTACTCTCAAACGTCTTGGACTCACGGTCAGTAAACATATCAATTGACTTTATCACCCTCTAGGCAGTTTTCTAGAACAACACAAGACTAATTCGGACTTCGGAGAAGGACAGGGTAAAAATAGATGGGAAGTTTCAGTAAAGAAAATGTGGGGGTGCGTGTGTGATAAAAAACATGTCCATACTCAATTAATCATTTTTTCTTTTAGCAATTTAAAAGGAAAAAAGTTACTATCATTACAAGAAAATAAGAACATTGTTTTTGGATCAGACAGAATTTTTTGGGGAGAGGGATAGAGTAATAAAAAAGGGGCAGCGCGGTGTACGAAGGCATCCCCACAAGGAGAGGGTCTGGGGAAGGGTCCCACCACAAGGGTGTATAAGGGGAAAGCCTTACCCTATCATTTTTTTGACAAGAGACCGCTCCCAAGACTTGAACCCGTGACCTCTAGGTCACACAAAGGGGTAGAGTAATAGAAATAGTCAAATAGATAAATAAATGAGTGACAAATAATAGCTGTTTGTCACTCATTTGTTTTATTAACAAAATTATTTGTTTAGTTCAGTTCGCATAATGTATTGTGAAATTACTAATACACGAAATCACATCTGACTTTCATTCTTTCACATCGAGTCAATTTTGTAATGGTGGACATGCTATTAAAAAATTAAGAATATTACCTTACAATCATCATTCATCACGAAATAGATAATTAGATTTTTGATAAGCAGCTAAACTAACAATCTTACATAATTAGACTATTCAATTGATAGCACCTTTGATCTAACAAGCAAAGATTGGCGCATAATTAAATGGGTCAAAGATCACCAAATAATAAAAGAATTTCATATAAATGATGGATGATTAAGGCACAAATGCATATTCTTCCCCTATCTCCTTTCTTTTTCTGCTCAAGCTCCCTTTCTGGATTTATTTCTTTCAATCCAATTGGTATGAATCACAAGTTGTATGGCTGTTTAAAATCACAAATTCACGCGTAAAAGCATAACAGCGAAGTTTTGCAGGATGCCTTTATCACTACCGGCTAAAAAAGGAATACTTAATCCTAAGTGTTTTTCGTGTCCAGTCCAATTTACGCTTAATAAAGATAATAAAAGTGCAGTTAACTAATACAGCTAATAATGTTATAAACATTTGTATTACTGGAGTGGAATGTATGAATAACTCTTATCAGCCCACGATGAGGCTATTCCTTTCCGAATATATGTCTTGTGACAGTATTAATGTTGGTATATAATCCACAAGTATGTTGTACGATTTACCGCCGTTTAGCCTCTGCTGCTGTTATTTACTATGTGGTACTGTAATAGCAGGGAAATATAAAAAACAATAAGTTTGCCAATAGAGAGGAAGATATTGAAACAACAAAGAATGGCTCTTCCACCTCCCATGATGAAGAAGTTGTTGCTGATGCTACCAACGGATTGGAGAGATCTCTTTTGGTAACTGGAGAAGAAGATATGAATGAAGCTGATGCAATTGAAGATGCTCCACCTCCAAAGAAGGCTAAAACTTCAACTGATGAAACACCTATTTGTATGGATGCTAACAATGGTGTGTGAGTTGAGCGTTTTTGTGTGGGGTTAGAAGCCATTTTGCTGTTTATTGATGACATGTGAAGCCTAGTTGCATGTTTTCAACAGGTTCAAATGTTCATGAGAAGGATCTTGATGTGAGCCATGAAGAATATCCATCTGAATCAACTATAGATCTTAATGCAGAGACTGATAAAAGCCTTAAAGTTCAAGCACGTGAGAAGAAACTAATCGACTTCAGTGAGAAACTGTATCTTGCCCCTCTGACTACGGTTGGAAATCTACCATTCCGTAGGGTATGTAAGGTGCTCGGAGCTGATATAACTTGTGGTGAAATGGCAATGTGCACAAATCTTTTACAGGTGGGCTATTGTTTACAATTTATTTGAATTGCATAGAATGGTCTAGAAACATATTTGGCATTTAAAGAGAAAGTAATGATTGCCTTCTCTCATGCGTGTAGGGCCAAGCATCAGAATGGGCACTACTAAGGCGTCACTCATCTGAAGACATTTTTGGTGTTCAAATATGTGGGCCATATCCAGACACAGTTGCAAGAACGGTTGATCTTATTGAACAGCAGTGTTCAGTGGACTTTATTGATATTAACATGGGATGCCCCATCGATATTGTGGTTAACAAGGGTGCTGGATCAGCTCTGCTCACAAAACCAATGCGAATGAAAAGTGTAATACAGGCAGCTTCTGGAACTGTTGATATACCAATAACCGTCAAGGTAGCTTGTTGCTTTACTAGAGTCAATTATGCTCTTTTCCCTTGCCTTAATTATCAGAAGTGTTTCTTAGATCCTCCGTGATACCCTTTCTGATGCTTTGTAGGTACGGACAGGTTATTTTGAGGGTAAGAACCGCATTGATTCCCTAATTGCAGATATTGGAAACTGGGGAGCTACTGCTGTTACTATACATGGTCGATCACGCCAACAACGTTATAGCAAGCTTGCCGATTGGGGATACATCTACCAGTGTGCAAAAAGTGCCCCGAAATCATTGCAAGTATTTGGAAACGGTGATGTGTTTTCATATGTAGACTGGAATAAACACAAAAGTGATTGCCCTGAGCTTTCTACATGTATGATTGCCCGAGGTGCACTGATAAAGGTAATTAATTCTTGTAGGGAATATTATTTTGCATTTCTAGTCACGTTTGCAGGGACACTACCATTTGCACTGGTTGTAGTTCTATCGATCTATGACTTAAGATAATTGTCAAAGGACTTGGCAATATGAACCTGAGAGCGATGAATAATAGTGCTCTTGTGAGGCGCAAACTTACGTCCTTTTGGCCATTATATTGCTTCACCAATTCAATTTTTTTTCTGTACCTATCAAATATTGATTTTAACGTTAGATCTTCAATTTGTTCGAAGATAGACACAAGAATCTCAGTTTCCATTTTCAGACTTTATATAATGTTTAAGATTAATTCACCATAAAAAATGGTTTTATCCCAGGTGAAATCGTATTTTCGACATAATGCAATGGTTAAGTTAATACTTGGTGCTAATGGATGGAAAAAAAGTTTATCCAAATGAAGTGCGTTTGATGGGATTCCCTTCTGACACCTCCGAGGAGAATTCTCCTTTGTATGTGTGTGTCTTTATGTATCAATATATAAACATCTTCCTACTTTTGCAGCCTTGGATATTCACAGAAATCAAGGAACAGAGGCACTGGGATATTAGTTCTGGGGAACGACTGGATATCTTCAAGGATTATGTGCGTTTTGGCCTTCAACACTGGGGTTCTGACTCAAAAGGTAGGTGTTAGAAGAGATGTTTTGGTGAACACTATCCTTTTCCCTGGCATTGCTCAATAAAAAGCTAATACCTTTATAGATATGATTTCAGAACATAGAACTTGATAATTTGTACAGAAAAAGTGAACCTAAACCTCGACCTAATAGAATAGAAACCTATAGTACTACTAAAACTATGAAAACTCTATTAACCATTTCTATAATTTAGTACATCATTGGTAATGCAAAATGTGGATGTTTATATGTTAAATGGGGTGCAGGAGTGGAGACAACCAGGCACTTCTTGTTGGAGTGGCTTAGTTACACATGTCGGTATATCCCAGTTGGTCTTTTAGATGTCGTCCCTCAAAGATTAAACTGGCGAGCACCTGCATATTACGGTCGGGATGACCTTGAGACACTCATGGCTTCTGATTCTGCTGCTGATTGGGTATCTATAATCTTTAGCACTTGCACCTGTCATAATCATAATCATCTTCTTTAAAGACTTAAAAGTGTCCTTCAATTTTAGTTTGTTTTGTAACTTGGGTTCCCTCATGTCTGGCTGCAGATAAGGATCTCTGAAATGTTGCTAGGCAAGGTTCCTGATGGGTTTTCATTTGCACCAAAACACAAATCTAATTCTTATGACCGAGCTGAAAATGGCTGATATATTTCCATCGTCGTCACTTTCTGCCTTTCTCGAGCTTTGGGACTACCTGCTTTAAGAGGACCATTTCTTTGCTTGTATTTTATAATATTATTTTACTAGTTTTGATTTATCCGAGACTTGTTGGTAGAATTTTCCGGAAGAGCTCATAATTTTTGGGAAAAAAGGTTTTGTACTCCGAGACCTGTTGCCTGTTGGTGGATTGTCGGGATGAAAGTAAACATGTATACAGACTTGGTGAAAGAATACTTCAATCAAGTGAACCGGTTCCGGGCCCGGTTCGGGCCAACCGGCCCGGTGGGATGGCGGTTCGGGCTCGGGCCCTTCAAAAGGTGAACTGGCCTGGCCGGTTCGGGCCCGGGCCGGGCCATTTTTTTTTTGATTTTTTTTAAGTTTTTGGGTTGGGTTGGGTATTTTGGGCCATTTGAGGTGATTAGGGTTGGTTTGGGGGTGAGGGGGAGGGTTGGGGGTTAACTAGGAAAAGCCAAAAAAAAATAAGAACCGAGGCCCGGCCCGGACCCGGGGGTTACCTGGGCCGGTTCCGGGCCTCCCCTTCTTGAACCGAGGCCCGGCCGGGCCCAGGCCCGAACCGGGCCTGAACCGGAACCGGTCCATGCCTAAATCAAGGCATTCATTTCTAGTTGGAAAATCTCATTTTGTTCAAACGCACGAAACAAATTATTCTCACACGCATACAAAAGCCACTCTGATTTTGTTTTTGCTTTACCTCTCATTCAAGGTTGATTGTTATAGATATTTTATGTTTTGCCTAGACGGCTAGACACATCAAACTCAATGTCAAAGAGTAGTAATTTTAAATATAGCACTTCACTGAGATTTTCATAAGTGATGTTTAAAAGCGCTCTTCTAATAACAAGTAATTTTCAACCACCGCTCATAAAAATATAAAATTGGCCCAAACAACTGCTTGGATTAATAAGGATGTTTTTACTTGGACTTTAATTTACTGATCCGGTTTAGTCTGGCCTGTTTAAGTTTGGTTTGATAATGTCTGGTCTCTATGTATTTTATAACTACGGAAGTCAAGTCTGGTCTGGTCTGTTATGTTTAAGTCTGGTCTGTTTAAGTCTGGTCCGTTTAAAACTGGTCTTGTCTGGGGGTTGAAAACAGTTTAAACTTTAAAACAGTTTAGTATCACTACTGTTAGAAAAGCACTTCTATACTATTTACTTAAAAAATGCTAAAAGTAGTGTTTTGAATTTGCTTCTTGAAGAAAGTGGAATTTGGATAACTTGACTTCAGTCTTCAGATATTGCGTTATCCAGTTTAGAATTGTCAAGATGGGTCTATTTTCATTAAAGCTATCTGGAACAATTAGATTCCTCCAAACATGTCATTACTTTGGAGAATATGGAATATTGGAACCAATTCATCTCTGTTGAGACTAATATTAGGACTTTATGAGTAATAAAGTGCATACCCAATTACCTCCAGATGTGTTCTCTGTTCATGTGAAGAAACTATTGACCATTTCTTCTTGTGCACTGAGATAGCCTATGAATACTTGGAATCATTTAACTATAAAGTATAAAATTGATGCCAGACAAAGTTCTTTGAAACCTTTGGTCATTAAACCGGTACATTGAAACCTGTCTTATATTGATAGCATCCTATCCATCATTGTGTATTTGCGTGGATTATATAGAAACAATTGGGTTAAGGTCCAAAGTTCAATTCTTCACATTGACAGTGTGGGTGTTATCCAATGTGGTGGGCTGATGGCTCCTCATGTGAACCAAACCCTAAAGCACCTCACGCAGAAACTGTTTGATATCATACTGTAATGGGAAAACTGTCAAATAAGTCCTCGAACTTTCATAAAAAAGTCAATTAAGTCTTATAGGAGACTCTGTCCGGTCGTCGCGATTTGGGGCGGTTCTCGGTGGAATTTTTTGATAAATTTTTTGAGCATCTTATTCATCAAGTCTAGTTTACTAATACCAAATTTCAGCTAAAAATTTAATCGGGAGCGCATTCAAATTAATTCGAGAACGCAAAAATGCGCAGTTATCTTCAAGAATTAATTTGAATGTGTTCCCGATTGAATTTTTAGCTAAAATTTGGTATGAGTAAACTAGACTCGGTGAATAAGATGCTCAAAAAAATTCATCAAAAAATTCCACCGGGGGCTGCCCCAAATCACGACGGCCGGACAGAATCTCCTATAGAAGGACTTAATTGACCTTTTTATGAAAGTTCGAGAACCTCTTTGACAGTTTTCCCTACTGTAATTCATTCCTTAAATATTATGGAATAGGGGTATTGTGTATTTAGGAGGGCGTTCCACCTTTTTGGGTCGAAGAAAAAGAATGAGATCAAAATGTCAAATATAAGAAGGCCGGAAGAAATAAACACCAAATTATACAAGTTGGTTGAAAGAGGTTATCCAATGGCCTAATCAGGATAAAATATCCTTAATGATATTTTACCTTTCTTTCCTTTTTGAGTTGCCACAAAATAACTGTCACATTTATTTTTTGGAAGGAATTATGTGATCCACAATATTTCAATTTATTATACTCAAATTTGAACCACAACTTTTAATAATTGTGTAAAACCGAAAGAAGACACATAAAATGGGACAGAATCAACTACAGGAGCTGCTAATAAGCATCGCACTTTTTTTTGCTTTTTGTTTGAGAACATCGCAGTTGTTCTATTAATGTCAAAGGATCCACAAGTGCAACATTGAGATTCAAGTCTTTTTGAGTGCTGATTGAAGGCTAAACAACTTGGGAGTTCGGCCTAACCCTCCCCCATCTCATGCTGTTAATCAACCTGCTCATAAAAAACCGTTTTCAATTGTTTTTTGACATTTTACCCTAACAATATACAAAAACACTTTTATTAGCAAACAAATTAACTTTTACTTTTTAAAACACTTATTTTCATTTTTTTTTTTAAAATTAAGCACATCATGTATCTCTATAGTAAATAGTAAGCCACTCTTCAAAATCAGAAGCAAACCTCCTAAGTTGCTATGCCAGCCGTGTTCAACATCAACCAAGGTAACCCGTACTCCTAGGCTCTGGGGCATGTTACTCGGCCATGAGAGTATGAGACAGCACCAAGTGGAGCTACTCTGGGGCTGTAAAGGCGTGGTTTGGTTCATAAAAATGCTTTTGTAAAATCTTTTTTGGACAACATTTGAACAGATCATTTGTTCAAGCAACCAACATTTTATCTATAACCAATATTTATATGCCTGTCAGAGCAAAAGAGAACAAATAAACAACCTTCACACAAACAATTTAGTTTTCCTGCAAACTTGTCTTATTCAATGTGAAAATGCAAAGTAACAAAGCAATGATGGAAAGGCCCTTTCTGCTATCCGCAAGCCCTCAACAAAGAGGCATGGTCTTACTATTAGAATAGAAGGTATCTGGACTTTCCCATTTGGACAAAACAGAAACGTAAAAACAATTCTAAAATTGCCTCAACGGTCAAAATCTTCGTGAAACAATTAACAAGTCATAATAGCAGCAAGCAAAACATAGTTCAAGCACATCATTTCAGTCCGTTGGGGGGGTTCTAAACAAACAAGAAATTAGTAAAGGCACTTCAAACAGGAAGAAAACAAGTCACACATATTCCATAACTTGTTCACTTATTTCAGCCTGCATTGCAATTACAAATGCTGACTAATGTTCTTCCATGTATCAACCAGTTCTCTTGATTATGTGAACACCACTTTCAGTATCAACAATGTCGCTAATCTGACCAACAGCAAGTGCAAAACATGCTTCTTCAAAAGGCTTCTGCATCTTCTCCCGGCCAAAATAACCTACAACACAAAGGTACTTTGCAGCAAACTACCTAGCTAATTAAAAAATGCTGGAGGGTAAAAAGTTGTATGCACATTAAAAACATCCATGGAACTGTTTTTTTTTTTTTTTTGCAAAATAATGCCCGGACCTAAAAATGGGATTGAACTATAAGTCTATTACTACTAACTTTGTAATTGATATTTGATAGAGGCCGCACCACTCTGCGCATGTGGAAAAGATTATTACTTACTAGTGACACGATATGGCATTATTTCAGCAACTAATTTAGGTTTTGTTTTGTTTTTCCTAGTGGCGACAAAAATTTCTTCTGTGCAATTTGAGAGAGGGTTGGAGAGTTACTTATATCTCTACAATAAATCACCGTTCAAAAGCACAAGCAAATACCCCCTAAGTTGTTTTGCCATTCGGGTTCAACATCCACCAATGTACTCAGAGCAATAGAGGTATAGCTTAAAATTTATTTATAATTCAAGGCTTGACTCTCATGAGACTTAGCTGACCGCCATGAGGCTTGATTTTGAGTTTTAAAACCTTGCCTATTGGAGTATTGGCATTAGTATTATATTTCAATTACGTTTCAAATGATAACATAGGGCTTAGAATATCAACACTTGCTCACCAAGACTCTAGGGAGTAGAAAAAACATAGGGCTTTTATTCATCAATAATCCCAAGTTGTAACTTAATTTCTAGTTATTTACTCAGTACAAGGCCGGTTTTAAGATCAATTAATCTGGAGTAGGGTTGGATTCAGTATTTCAGTTCGTTTTGACCTCAAATCAAACACAGAGCCAAAGTAAGAAGTTCAGTTTGGTTCGCTTTTTCCGTTTCACATGGTCAATATCACTGGAATTGTTATATGGAGAACGATTATCAAATTGAATTGATTTCTTCAATTTTAGTTCTAAAGTCGTTCAAATTTGCCACAATAGTCACTTGCCAAAAAAACAGGCAAGTAACTTTGTTTGTAAATTGTTCCAACAAGGTAGCCAACTCAGCATAATCTAGGACAGAGGTAGCGAATGCTCACCAATTAAATAACATACAACATTATTTTGGAATAAATTCTCCTGTGTCTTTGGAAAGGCCAAAGAAAACAAATTCCTTCTCTGCCAAGGCGAGGAGTGCAAGTGTATTACCCTGCCCAATAGTGATACTGATACATGGTTCAGTTCAGATTCTGAAGGGGAAAGAACATTTGGGGGGAAAACAACTGACAGTCTCCGCCTTGATAATCACTGCCTCCAAGTATATGAAGACTATGTGCCTGCCTGATGCAGCTGAATCATCACAGCCAGCAACTTGCAACCTTTATCAGCTAGCAGCTGCTGCAACTGGCATAAAAACGGATACCACTGCCGGCACCTCCGCTAACTGTGTTACCGTTAAGGCGTAAACTAAGCCAACAGCGTTGCCACTGATCCATTGTGATGCGACCACCGACATCTGCATGCAGATTGCACGACCCCTACTTCGGTGCTCTATAAGATAAGATGATATGGAACATGGACCTGGATAGACCTAGTTCAATCCTATGCGATATTGGTGTTTATATAGTCACATTTTACTCATTGGGGGGGGGGGGGGGGGGGCTCACTATGACTAGCATAATCCTTGCTCGATGAAGATACTGGTGGACCTTCACAAAATGCTGCCAATGCCGCTTGATCGAGGACAAGCTTAATTGCTGTACGGGAGGAAAGTGATGATATGAGCATGCTTTGTGCTACTCAAGCTAGGGCAGTGCAGATTAATAAAGTATACGGTCTTGACATATATTGAGAGTATTTTTTCAGCGTGCTCAATAGACTTCCATTTTCAGCACTTCACGAATAAGTAAACAGCAATGCAACCTTACTTCTAGATTTCTGAACGCTTGATAATATTCTAATAGCTCCATAACCTAAAAACTGAATGTAATTCACCAGCAGGTAAGTCAACTGGTTAATAGATAAGTGCAAAAATTGATGCTGGTTCAATTTCTGACACGAAACCTTACTCTGAATTCCTGTATGCACCAAGTGCATGCTCCAGGTTCTATAAAAATTTTGTGATTATAGCTGTCAAACTAGGGGATGTTCAACCAATTCCTATGTTGAACGGAAACCAGAGAAATATAGGTAAACGTGAAAGTGAAAAATCATAAGTTGCATTTTAATCGAAATATAAGTGTTCAGAGAGTTTCAAAACAGTTTTTGCAGATTATCTGAAACGGAAATGGAAATAAGCTCTTCACTGAAAGTTTCCGTGCTTTATAGACGCTCAGTGCATCATATTTCGCTAAAAGTAAGCCACCAACACTAAACATAAACAGTGGTTTCCATCTACAATGGCGATTACAAGCAAGCTACAAAAAATGCATGGATGGCGGATGGAGGAATTACCGAGATCTCCGCCGCGTTTGGCGGAGCTGCAATGAGATTGAGTGGAAGCAACCTCCTCGAAACTGGACTTGCCTTCTATGATTTCCGTGTGCAAAGCTTTGAGCTGAGAGACGGCGTCATCTCGGGTTGTGGTACAGATACGCAGACCCTTCGGGTCTTTCCACGACGACTTGTTTCTGGAGCCTTGGTGTTTGATCAGAATGTGCGACGCCCTTACTTCGCCCGACGACATCTTGGATTGGAGCCCGGGAGAATCAGAGTAACGAGAGGACGGACAGATCGTGGATGACCTAAAGCTGTGGACGTGCGTGGGAACGGAATGGAACAGCTTCGAACGTTAGAAATGATTGCATTCTATCCACAGACCACAGTCGATCAACTTATTCTCTCATTCTCATTTGTCCTTTTTTAAAAGTTTCTTTTGACTCATATTCATTTTCATTTTTCTTATTTAATCATAATCATACATTTTCACTTTATTCTTACTTTCTTAAACTTCGATTCAAGTCAATGCGGGAATTATTTTATGGGACATAGGGAGTATAATTTAATGGAGAAAATGTACAAATATATCATGTTTTATTTTTCAGAAAAAATATACTCCAACATTATATTTGAAAGTGCATATATACCTCTGGTTTTTTAAAATGTGCAACAATACCTCTCATGTCTTATAAAGGAGTAAATTTACCTTTATTGACTTAAATTGATAAAATAAATTTCAAAAAATACCAAAAATAAATTATAAATTCGAAATTAAAAAATAAAAATTTTAAAAATGTACTTGTGTCCAATTGTAGCTTTTATTGTTTGTATATCACAATTGAATATTGTTAGTATATGATATTATTTCAAAACTTTACTATATATTTGCGATGTAAAAAAATTATAATTTTTTGAATTCTTTGTACTATAAAATTACATATTATATATGATGATAAATAGTCCGAGATTACAAATAGTGAATTTAATTTTATTAAGGTTAAACAAAAACAAAGAATGTTATTTCAAAAAATGTAACAATCTATTCAAAATTTTGCAACAAAACTAAAATTATTATTTATGAATTTGAAGTGCTTCATTTACAACGTATACAATTTAAAATTAAAGAGTTAATATTTTAACATAATAATAAATCTTTATTTTTAAATTTTGATATTTTTAATTTATTTTTGGTGTTTTTTGAAATTTATTTTATTTCTTTAAAGTCAACAAGGGTAAATTTGCTCCTTTATAAAAAACATGAGGGGTATTTTTGTACTTTTTAAAATTCATGGGTATATATGCACTTCAACGTATACTTCAGGAGTATATTTGTTCCGAAAAAGAATATGTGTATATTTATTTCCATACCCATACTACAGGGTATATTTGTACCTTTTCTCTAAATTCATTTAGCATTTTTTTTTAAAAGTCAATTAGGTTCCCGATCGAAATATTGCTCAATAAACAAACCCTCAAACTCATTTAAAGTTGCACGTGTGATCAGGGCGGAGCCAAGGGGGGTTCAAGGTGGTCAGCCGACCCCGTTGAAAATGTGAGAGTATAGAGTTCTGAAATATCTTCGATTTGATATATTATGGCCCCTGTAACTCATTACGAGTAAAAAGTTATGACTTCTGCAAAATCAGCACTATCTAAACGTAAAATCAACAAAATTTGATATGTAATATTGATTATTTTCCCAAATTTTGAAAATAGCGTATAATTAACTTATTACTTACTTGACATAACTTAGAGACAAAGCAAAGACAATATATCTTATTGCTATGAGTGCCTATTTATTTAAACTACATATGAAACATTCAACTCAGACATTGTATAAAAACGATACTTCATTTTCATTTGGTATATAGTTGTTTTTTTGACTCCCTCTAGATCATATTTCTGGCTCGACCACAGCGTGTGACGAATGACGTGGCTTTTTTTATCCTTTTCTTTCCTTTTCTTTCTTCACTCCCACTCCTTATCTTCTTTCATGCGCGCATGTCCAAGTTTGCAACTTTTTTTCTCTTTCCCCATTCTCTTCTTTCCCCAGTTCTCAGACTCTCAGCTCGTATTTTCCCCGGCCTCACTTCACCCTCCTCGATCACCTTTCTCCGCATATCCCTCTTCTCCGCCGCTGACTAGGGTGTTCACACTTCGCATGGGCGGACCGTAGTAGAGACCCAGGGGGTTACCGATCCCAACAATTTGTTTTAGTGTATATATACGAAAAATAGTTTTCGCCCTCCCAAAATATATTTTGAACCTGTAAGGAATAATTGTATTTAGATTTTGATGATGCTATATTAATTAGGAATTTAGAGTACCCCTTTAGAAATTATGTATTAGAATTTTCCTTTGTAAAGTTCTTAGATGTATTCGACTTGACAGAAGACCTTCAAGAACAGAAGTGCTTCAAGGACAGAAGTGCTTCAAGAACAGAAGTGCCTCTTAAGGCTTTATTGAAACAGAGGACCTTTGGTTCTCTGCTCCAGAACAGAAGTCCTCAGGATCTCTGTTACTCTTGACTCTGACAGAAACCCTTCTGGGTCTCTGTTGGATATTCCCAACAGAAGTGCTCCAGACCTCCTCTGTTCTACTCTCAGACAAAGACACCAGAAGGCCTGACACTTAGAAGATTTTCAAAGAACCGGGAAGTCAACTAAAAGATTCCTTCAACGGCTAGGAGTATGAAACGGAAAAGCTACAGTGCATGCATTAAATGCTCATTTAATGCACCCCATGCTACGTAGAGTAATTGCAGATGATTGGCCGGAATGTCAGGAATACTTTATCCCAAAATAGTAACCCGCCAACTTTACCGGGCTCTACTAGTCAAGTCAACTGATCGCTCATTTAATGCAGTTGTCCTCCTACTCCTCCAACGGGAAGACAACCTCAGTATAAAAGATACACTACGAAGAACAACCGGATAACTTTGCCTACATAATTTTGCTACAACTTTGCAAACCACAAGCAAGATATTCAAACTCTGAAAAGCAAAAAGCCTCCTTGAGATTCAAACTCAATATCTTCTACAAGAGAAGGCAGAAGTTGGAAAAATACTCTTTCCAACTCAAGCAAAGTTCCAAGTGTTCTTCAACTCTTCAAGCTCTTCACATACACATATTTTGTAACGAAGCTAGTTGGAGGAACCTCAGTTTCAACAGAAACGCTTCTTGCTACAAGAAGGACGTCCAAATAACTGGAGTAGTGAAGTGGTGATACTTCAAGGAAACTCAGTGAAAGGACCAGTGTTAAAGGAAGCCAGGCAGTGCATCCCAGGACACATCTAGGATTGAAGAAGACGTGGAGTGCTTCTTAAGTGCTAGGACTAAGGCTTTGTAAACGGCAGTTTTTACAGCTTAGTGGAACAATGGATTAGAGGAACGAGTTGTTCCTTGAACCACTATAAAAATCCCTGGTGTCGTTTACTTACTGCTTTTATTACTTGCATTTAGTTAGAACTGTATAACTCCTTGAACTTGGTATCTGTGTTCAGCAGAACTTGTTCTACGAGTTAACAGAAGGCCTACTGCCTTTGCTCCTCTGAGGCTAACAGAACTCCCTACCAGAACCCCATCCGCTGCCAGTCTGTTCCTTCAACAGAACAGGCTATTCTGTAAATCTGGTACTTAGTTTAAAAAGCTAAAAACCAATACAGTCTATTCACCCCCCCTCTAGACTGTATCCAGTATAACCGGGACCAACAAGTGGTATCAGAGCCTCCTTGTTCTAATAATCTCTTAGGTTATTTGTTGAACAAAGATCCACTTGTTTTTCTGTTTTACCTCATTTCTATCTGATATAATGGATCACTCCTTGTCCAAGAATCTTATGTTCTCAGATCTTAAGTTTGATGACTGGAGGATCCGGATGAAAGCACATCTCTGTGCCCTACATGATGAGATGTGGGAAGTTCTAGATATTGGCCCCTTCACAAGCTTCCAGAAGGTCAATCCTGAACATGCCATAGACAACACCAGACCCCAGATGATCAGCAAAGCCAAGTCAGAATGGACCACTGAAGAGAGGAGAAAGTACAACCTAGACAATATTGCCAAGGACATCCTCTACAAGTCCATTGATGATAGGTACTTCAACAGAATCAAGAAGTGCAAGACTGCTAAGGAAATCTGGGATACTCTTGAGCTCATTGGAGCTGGTGATGAGCAAGAGAAGGACAACAAACTAACCATAGCCAACAAGAAGTTTGATGACTTCAAACTTCTCCCTGGTGAAAGCATCTCCAAGATGTATGACAGGCTCCTCACTCTCACTGGAGAGATCTCTGAGCTTGGCAAGGATCTCACAACCAAGGAGATCAACCTGAAAGTGTTGAGGGGACTGCCCTCAGCATGGAAGATGAAGGTAGTTGCTGTCCAAGCCAGCAAGGATGTAAAGACTTATCCCACTGATAAGCTCATTTCAGATCTCAAAGCTCATGAGTTTGAAATGATTGAAGAGAAGGAAGATGTACCAGAAGAGAGGACCACTACAGCCCTCTCTGCCAGCACATCTAAGGTAAATGATTTTGACCCTTCAGTACTTTTATCTGATGAATATATGGCTGCCTTTGCCAGGAGATTCAAAAAATTTATGAAGAATCCCAAAGATGGAAGGAGTCCATCTTTCAACAGAAAGCCATACCAGAAGGTCAAATCAACAGAAAGCAGTGGAGAGCTTCTCTGCTACAACTGCAGACAACCTGGTCACTTCAAGGCTGATTGTCCCCATCCTAGAGTGTCCAAGAAGCAAGGACAGGATGGAGAAAAGAAGAAGTACGAGGACAACTCCAGAAGAAGAAAGGCACTTGTGACAGAACAACTGGAGAAAGACCCTCTGTCAGAAACAGAATCCAGTTCTGACTCAGATTCTGATGAGGCCTTCTGTTGCCTTGATACTGAGACAAAAGACCTTTGCCTCATGGCTCATTCTGATGATGAGGTAACCTCTACTTCTGAATCTAGTTTTTCTTCGGTAGGCTTAGCTTTTGATTCTGATTCAATGTCAGAATTTAGGGAAGAGTTTAAGGCCATACAAGCCACTTATTCTTCTGTAACAGAAGAAAACAGTAAGTTGAAAGCTGAAATTCTTGACTTAAAGAAGGAGGTTGAGATCAAAATCAACCTTCTAATTGAGGAAAGAGATCAACTGGAAACTGAAAATGTTTCTCTTCTTAAGAGAATAAGAGAAATAGAGCCTCTCGAGATTAAGTACAAAGCTTACCAGAAGGCCCAGTCTTCCATGGAAAAGATTGTGCTTGATCAACAGATTGGCACTGGTTTTGGTCTTGGTTATGGCTCAACAGAATCAGGTGAGCCTTCTGTAATGCCTAGCACCAGAGTTGCTAAGGCAGATAAGGTCATAGAGCCACTGATCTCTA